AATGAAATGTAAATAAAATACGTCTACCTGAAATTGAAAATGTAAATTCAAGAGGTTTTTTTTATTTAATATTTTAAATAAATAAAAAAATAATATTATAAAAAATGTCCTTCTTTCTATGAAATTTGAACGCCTATATCTGTGAACGAATCGACCAAGTTGTGCGAATCAATGAAATACTGAATAATGAATGACTTCCTTCTTGAGAAAGAAAGCTTCTTACATTTATTTAGATTTAGTTTCAGAAGATTCATAGACCACCATGCAACTAAATTATTCAAGTCACTTTGAAGCTGATGTGATTGCGATCCTACGGAAAAGGAAAAGAACAGTTCTAAGTAGCTGCCTTGAGGTACGCCAGACGTTACGGGGAATTCATTCGCGGTGATGAGATTAAACAAGACCCCGAACCATCTATAGTGCAGATAAGAGCTTATCCATTTCACTAAATAGAAATGGACGCTAGAGGCTTGGAATTTAAAGATAAGTAAGTTATGGTTAACCAAATCAAACGCCTTGCTTAAATTAGTATAAATGACATTAGTGCGAGAACCACTAGAAAAGACCTTGAAAACGTGAGAACTAAACACTAACAGATTGGTGATAGTAGGTCTTCCTTTTCGAAAGCCATGTTGAAATAGAGAAATATACGATTTGATGGCAAAGGCCAAATGCTGAGTAACAATTCGCTCGGACAATTTAGGTAAGACACTCAACTTGGCGATGCCTCTGTAGCTCTCTACAAGTTGTCTACGTCCACTTTCGTAAATAGGAAAAACGTAACAAGTCTTCCAGCACAAAAGGAAAGCACCTAAATTCAAGGACTTGTTAAAAATCTTTGAGATAACAGCGCGTTGTTCACCAGCACAAGATATAAGTACACATGGCGGAGGTCCAGGCAAACAACTATATTTTAGAGAGCTCAACCCTTCAAAAACGTCATTTTTAGAAGTAACCACATTAGGAATTGAAACCGAATTAGTAATGGGATATGGGTAGTTTACAGATAAATTGGAGTTAGCCGTCGAAAACTTTCGTCGGAAGTATTCAGCAAACAGGTTTGAGGTTTCAAAATCATCCGAGGACTCAGCGTCATAGAAAGAGACATGCGAGGGATTTATGGAGGTTTTTCTTTTGGAATTAACAGACTTAAAAAAGTATTTAGGATTAGCGAAAAAGGAGGATTTTGTAAACTGAAGGTATCTGCAATAATACTGGTTGAGAAAATTAAATCTATACTTTGCAGCTGAATAAGCGAAATAGTCGCAAGCAGAGCCACTTTTCGAAAATTTTTTGAACAACTTGTTTCTCCTATTCTTGTAATATTTATTGTCTTATTAAGCCACGAGGGACACTTGCTTCAAGGTTGGAGCTGCTTGATGTTGATTTTATGGAAATCATAATATTTATTTGAAAAAGTTTGATTTGGAACGTTAGAACAATTCAACGAGCCATCATGCTTGTGATGAAAGGAAATACGCATTGCTGGATGATAAGGATCCTCAGGTAAATTAATAGGCAAATCAATTCACACTAAGTAGGGGAAATTGGCAAAGCAAAGATCAAGTAGTATACTATTACAATTAGAAGTACGGCTGTATTGATCTATATTATGATCAAGTAATTCGTTAAAGAACACAACAGTAACACTAAGTGTCTTGAGGCAAATTGAAGTCATCCAACGCTATGACTATGTCGGCAAGTTTAGACACCTTGGTCACTTCACAAATGAGGGCGGCCTGTTTCTTATTAATGGAGATATCCGAATTTGGGGGAACATAGGAGCAGGTTACATACAGCGTTTCAGTAGAAATTTTCGCTCGAATGGCAATAAATTCAACGTTGGGAGTAGAAGGAAATTCAATTGAATAGAACGGAACTGCCGAAGTGGCAACTACAACACCACCACCAATGCAATTCAATCGGTCCTTTCTGAAAACGTGGAACGAATTATGGAAAAGTTCCGACGAATGTAGATCAGGCTTTAATGAAGTTTCAGTGAAGGCGAAAGAGGAAAATTCCGTGTTCACTGAATTTAGGAAAGTAGAACGAATTTGTGAATTTAGGCCCCGAACATTTTGATAAATGAGAGTTAGTGAGCCTGAAGGAATATTTAGTTTTCTGAGGGAGTAACTGCTACTGCAATAGTATTAAGGGCTCGACCGCGAGGGATAGATTCGTCAACTAAAGATCTAACTGGCCACAATAGTTTATTTAATAACATTTCCATGTTTTCATTCGGAACTAGCACTTTAAAAGACGACATTGCTCTAGACAGGGATGGTGCCAATTTAAAAATGCTAACGCGCTTTAAATTGACGGATGGGACATTCGTCAGCAGATAACTTTTTATGTTATCCACAGATTTGTCAAGTGCCAGTCTTGACACAAATATTGCCTTTCTAGGAGAAATTGTAGTCGAGCAAATGTCATCTCTACTACCTCTACCTCTTTTTTAAAATTATTTAAATTCTCGTACATTATTTTTTCCTTCTATTCTTCTTTGTTTTTCCACTAACAGTAGTAAAACATAAAAATTATCAGCTGCCGTTTGCCGAGACGACGTGTTGTATCAAGTGTGAATGAAATGTGAATGAATTAAATAATAAAAATTAAAAATTATTTTTTACTTTGAAATGGTTTAATCGCGCTTACTGACGAATAATAAACGAAATTTGCTTTACCATATGTTTTAGTATCAGGTGTTTCAGCTCAATAAATACAGATGTGTTTTATGTCTACTCAACAAATAAACAACCGAAAATTTTATTGCCATCTCTGCGTTTTATGTGTATTATATATGTAATGTATTATATATATTTTAAATGGATTAGGTTTTATTACTACTTTCTTATACGCGTTTGTACGCCTAGTTTGATAGACGGGAGTGTGTTTAAATATATTTGCGTGGAGAACTAAAACAAAAAAAGGAATTACAGAAAATCTATAAAATAGCGGAAGAAATAAAAGCATTGTAAACATGGCTGCACAAACAATTTTGTTCGATTTTACGGTAGACAAAGAACGTACAACGGATGCTAAAGAACGCCAAGAAATTGCTAAATTGTTACGCCAAGAATTAGAGCACATTTTTCCACAGTTGAATTTAATGTATCAAATGCCCATGGAGCATGGTTATTATTGTGTTTTATCTGAAAATCAAGACACCATTATAACAATGCGTATCTTTCAACAAGGTTTGGTTACAATTAATGTGGAATACTATTTGGAGAATGGCAAAGAGCCATTAATGTCATTTGATGTAAGTATAATTACTGAAACATTAAAGTAATAATTAGTTGGTTTTATTATTTTTTATAATTATTTTATATTATCAATTAAATGATTTTCTTTTTAATTTTTTACACTTTTATTATTTTATAATTTAAATGATTTTCTTTTTTTAGTATACATACGTATGCACATATATATATTTATTTTAATTATATATTTATTTGTGCTTTCTTTTGTTTCAACCTTGCCAAGCTTCCTGTTTTTTGCTAAGAAGAAGGAGGAGGTTTTTGGTGAAGGTTATATCTTGCTTTTTTAGTCTTTCGTTGTTGTTGTATTGTATATCTTTGGTTAGTGCTTATATTATATCCATTAAGCCACATTATTCAGATATACATTTCAAAGCACTCTAGCTACTGCATACAGGCGCTTACGCCTATTGAAAGGGTGTCAAGTTCACACTGTAAAACCGCTCCTCCCCTTGACAACACTTTTATTCAAATGCTTGCTTTCCTTTTCCTTTAATTCTGCTGTGATTTGTCTTTAATTTGAACATGTGTGTAGTCTTCGTGTTTGCGTTATTTTTTGTACCGGTAGACATTTGTTTGTGCTTTTTCCAGTATACGGCTTACTAAGCAACAATTAAATACCCTACAGCGCTACACTTAATATGACGTTTTCTATTTTTTTCGTGATGAAATACCAAAAATTACTGAAGCGAAGCTAGCCCACTGTAGCTAGCCCTCATTTTAGCAAAGACAAAAATGTGGGCTATCTTCACTCCTGAGTAACCACATTTTTATGGTTCGGGTCCTCGCTAAAATGTCTCTACTGACTTACAATTTATTGCGAAATGAATAACAATAAGGTAAAATAAGTATTAAAATTAAATAATCTTAGCGAACGTGCACATATAAAATATACTGAGTCGCTAGTTACGAACGCAAAACCAAAACTGCTTAGTTATTGCTAGTAAATCTCATGCAAAAGTACGTTACAAACACTGAAAGAATGCAATGTTAAAATCGTGTTATAACCATTCTTAGACTACAGATTCTTGATATGTCGTGAAAAATGCTAGAATCTATCAGAAAAACCTAACTTCATTGCCCTGTATAGGGTCCGCTCCATGTTCACAAGACTAAACTAAATTGTGGAGAAGATTTATAAGCTGAATCCGTCTTTTTTAAGCCTTCTCTAGGCCCGTATAATGCATACATATTTGTTCACGTAATGAAATATACAAGGGTGTATACGCGTGCTTATAACCATAAAGTGAATTTATTTAAAATATCTTGAATTTGACAGAGCCGCAACATCAATCTATGACAATCATATTATTGTTTTTATGAGAACGGATAGGTCAAAAAAAAAAAAAAATATTTCAATTGGTGCGAGATTTCATCAAATAAGTTAAGCAGCGTCACAAAGATAAGCAAGATGTCCATAGAATAGCATTGTTATATAATATCCTATATGGAATTTGTTAAATAGTATTTCAGATAATAAAACTAAAAAAAAATAAAAAAAACAAATCGCTAGACTGTCACTGATCATTATGATGAAGTAAAAACTTCTTTCCTAAAAATCCTTCCCGATTATCAGCGTCCCCGCACGTATAAGTAACATCCCACGTGTATCTGGTCGTAAAAAAAAGCCAAAAACGAAACTAACTAACTAAAGTATTTTTGAATGAATGTGTTAAAGAAGTAATTCAAAAATAGTCTCACAATACATATTGGATTTACGCAAATGAAAAGTGATTAATTCTTTTTCACTGTAATATAACTATTTTTTCTTCCTTTTGTTTATGCAGAAGAAAACACATTTTTAAACACAAAACTTAATTGCTGATAATAAAATGCTCATTATACTGCTTATGGGTATATAGGATTGCTTGGAAATAAAAAAAATTCCTTTTTAATCTCATTAATCGTGTAATGGTTGAAAGGTACGCTTCATAGGAAAGTTCAAGCGTACTTTCGAATTGTACGATGGGTACATCTTACTTACGCCCCGAGCAAGCTAAACAATTCCGCATTTTATGGTTTTTATGACGTTTTAAAAAATTTGGCATATTCATAAGCTAAATGGACTGATGACTCGGCTTTTTATACCCTATACCATTTGTCGTATGCGGAATATTAGATTTGTGCGGACGTAAGTTGCACCCAGAAAGGGTTAGGGTAGATCCACTTCTTATTATACCGATCCTTTTCGGAATCGATACATACTGGTTTGTCATGCTTCGACCCAAGGAAGAACACTATTAAAAATGGCTCGGATGAGTCAGTTTTTTCGACCATTCCCCATATAACGGTATATTTTAATAAGCAAGGAAAAAAGCTGCAATTTTTAAAATATTTCGACAAAACTCGCTATGCAATAGTATTTTGGCATTCTAAATTGGTACGAACATTTTGGTTGGACTGGGGCAATTTCTTGAAACCTCTCTTATATAACGGTTCCAACGAAAATTGCATTTTTAATATGGTAAATTGGTTCATAATACGAAATTAACAAAGAAGTTAACCCTGCCGAATTTAGACCGCGTAAGCCAACTTTTTGGATAACACTGCCTCTAAAATTTCTCAAGAAGTGTAAACCGTTATATGAAAATTAGTCACATTGATTATAATTTAGCACATAACTTAACGGTATGTCTATTTTTTCGACTTTAACATATAAAGCGATTATCACGAAAGGCAAGCCCTTACATATACCTAGAGAGAAAATCTATTTTCTAGTTTTATATGACATGATGTTTTTGAATTCCTCCAATATCCGAGCTTTCATGAAAATTCTGACTTTGCACGAACCCAATGTGCAATTTTTGATTTATTGTCCGTACTAAGCGAAATGGTGTAAAGTATCTAATGGTTGGCTTTACCCGAATACTACTTCCGACTTGTTTTTACTAATTTCGCGAAAGCAAACCATTGTCAAATTTCGTAATATATTTATACAAGATTCGTGCAAGAAGGCACCTTCGTCTAATAAATTTCACCATCACCTTAACATCAGTGTGTCTGAAACTCCGCGCCTGTTGATATTTAATTTGTGATAACATTTTTACGATATTGGAACGAAGTTCAGAGTTCAAGTGGTTAACACCGAAAATCGATTGTTTTTGCTTTGATATGACTGCCTCCTCATGATTTGAGTTTGATGACAACATTCAGTGTGCTGGTACTACCATCCCTGTGTGCCACAAAAGGTGGCCCTGCTAACCTCTTTCCGTCTATTATAAGTCACATCACTTTCACCTTTTTGGTAAATAATAAATATCTCATTCTTTCTAGAATAGCCACAATAAAAATGGAGCAATAAATATGAGTAGTATGAGATAGCGTGTTTGTTTTATTTATTTCCTAATACATACGTCAACATTTTATTTTTTATGTATGTTTGTTTCTTTATATTTTTATACTTTTTTACGCAAAAAATTCACCTAAAATAAACTACTAGCTCAATTAGATCGACTTTTCGAAAAAAATATTACAGAAAATATTATGACTAAAGTATTGCACTATATATCCAGCCTCGTCCGTACGGCTAACAAGTGTTAATTTGTTTTTTATATCCATTTATTCTATATCTCTCTCTAAGGAGACAGTGACACAAGCGGGTCCCACCCCTAATTTCTAAGAGCAAAAAGCAGGAATTGTTTTTGAATGGATTCTGTCGAATCCACTTCATATGTGTAGGAAGGTCACGAAACAGAGACATATTCAAGCCGGCAAAGGCATAGTACTTATCGATTCCATGCATATCCACTAGGCTGCGGCCACCTCTCTCCCTATCTTGTTCTCCTCTCCTCCTGCATTTTTTCTCCTCCGTCATCCTGTTGCATGAATAGATGACGTCCACCGGATGATAGGTTATATAAAAAAAAAATTATAATATCCGTTTAACCAAGCTCAAGTGTAGCCTTTTCAAGAATGGGTTTGCCAAGCTTTCGATGCATTAAGATATGGTAGTATAAATAGTGAAGGTTCTAAGCGGATGTCTCGAGGAGAGAGATGATGGAATTAAAAAGTAGTTTGCTTGACGTATTATGAAGTAGTATCTGTGTATCATATGAAAAACCTGGAAAATATCGCAGGAAAACATTAAAAGGTTCGTAATGGTCGATGTCACTTTTATTTTCCTTGCATGCTAAAATGGAGAAAAAACCAAATTTTATAGCGAAAGGTAATTGTGCAAACAAATTTATTGGTGAAATAGAATAAAGGACTCTGCTCTCCCAGCGCAAAATGAAAATACCTGGTTCCAGAGAAAGATTCTGATATAACATCATTAGTTCATTAAAACATGATTTGCGTATACGTGATGAAATGCCATCTGGCCCTGAATCACAACTCTATTGTAATGACTTTAAACTAGCTTTTAATCGTAAAGCTCTCAGTCGGTCGTATCTAGATTTTCTTTTTTTTTTTTTGGAATTGTTCAATTGTTGAGATTTATTCTTTTTCTTAAAATATTTTTAATTTTTAATTTTGTTTACATGATTTTGCAATTTTTATTTTGCCTTAGCTTATTCAAAGTGTCTTTCACCCTTTCTTTCTACTCGATTGCATAATTTTCCAACCAATTCAAGTTCAGTGCACATTTTTTTATTTCATTATGCATAACTTTTGTCGTTATGGCTTTCAGTTTGTTTACGTTTCTTATCAATTCGCTTGATAAGTAAATCATGCCGACCAAACCGTAAACTTTATATGCATAATTTAGTTTGCTGTGGCATTATTTATTTATTTTTTTTTTTATTTCGTGCATCACATCTATTTTATATATGTACTTGCGATCGCGGTATGACTTTCCGTGTCGATTTCTATGGATTCGTTTACGGTAATCACATTTTATGTACAGTAAGAAATATGTGAATGAAAAAATTTGTTAATCCTAGTCGGACCCTGTTGAGCCTCCAAAAGCTCATTTGAACTTTCCACGTCATATTCTTAATTATTTGACATTGCATTTCCAAGAAGTTCGATTCACTTAAAATTAACAATTAAGATTAAAAGCATAATCTCCGTAATTTTATAGTTAGTATGATATCTAAACTAATTCTTTTGTTTTTTCTAACGAATGTTACTACAATCAGTTTTGCAGTTAGAAAAGACTTCCCTATTTCGGACAGGAAGGACTTAATCGGTCTAAAATATGAGAAAGAGACGCGCTGGGGAGCTATGAATATCATTGCAGAACTATGATCGCAATAGCATCCCTTTAATACTTTCTTTAAGAACTCTGAACTAAACCAAAGTTTATGCGGAGTTGTAATGTCTGTTGTAAACATTCTGCTAGACGTAAAGATAAAGTAATCGCTTTTAAGTTTGGCAGAAGTATTCGAGGCTCTTGCACCAGAAGCTGGTGTTAAGAACGGGTTAAATCGGTCAAAGGATACGCCTTCAGTGCGCTATAAAGTGAGAACACCTCTGATTTCTGGGCTTTTTTGGTCGTTACTTATAAACTACAATGGACGTGTGATAAAAATGTCCACGTCTATGTCACAATAATGAAAACAATCACCCACGTCCGTTCCAGCTTAGAGACTATGAAAATTTAACTTTTTCGTTGTTTTTTTTTTAGGTTAAACGTTGTAGATATAAAAGATTCGGTCGCAGCCAAGTATAATTTTCTTACTTGTTTTATTTTTAAAGATTTTTTTTATTTTTACATATAATTCGAAACCAAGCAAATAAAAACACTATGATGGGCCACGGCCCACCATTAAATGCCCTGCCTCGCCCTACAGTTATTCAATAAACGACATTTCAAAATAAGTTTTTATTTGGGAAGTGTACGCAGAAATGATTCAATTCGAACCATTGTTAATAGCGTCCGTCTTTGAGCGAAAATACATCAACGTATTACATTTTCTCAAAGTATTTGAAAAAGTGCAGCCTACGGATTGAACACAACAAAATAAGACGGACAGACGGACAGGCAAGCTCATATCGGTATAAAAATATGTGGGTCTATCTCGAGCTTTATTGGATGTTGCGTACATCCGCAATAAACTTAATATACCTTTGTACCACCAATGCCATTCCAATTTTTTCCATGAATTTTCAATTCCCAAGAAGAAGTATCTATCCAGCGATGCTAATCACATAACCATATGACTACTTTTTTGATTCCCTCAATACAACACAGAGCTATTACACATGTTGGGCCTGCATAATAGCTGACGGCTTGCGATAAATTCGATGCCAGAAAATGGAAAATATCAGCTGAATTCTGGGTGAAACCTTGACGAGAGTGGGATTTATTATTAATTAAAATTAAAAATCAGAGCTTATTAGATAACACTTTCTGTCAAAAATATATTTCCCTACACTTTTCGTCTCATCACCAAGTGAGTGCTGTTGCCAAATACCAAAGTCAATAATGAACCAAGAGTGCTTTTATATATATATATATATATATATATATGCTTTTCGTTTTTGATTCAACCATCATCTATCAGCGTAATTAATCACATTGGGTAGTATGTTAAAATAAAAAAGGAAATTTCAAAATAATCTGTGGGTATCTATAACATTAGAAATGTTGAGATTAAAAAAAAACAAAAAAAAAAAATCATTAAATCTTTTTAAAATTTTTCTATAAAAGCATAGAAATCATTGTTAATTCTTGGCATACACATATAAGCAAGCATATACATACATATCTCATCATATAATCAGAGTAATATGTAAATGTTCGTTCGTTCGTTCGTTCACACGTGTATTCATTTATAGAAACAAAAATCTTATTCAACTTTTTTTTTTTTTCCTTAAATTCAACTATCGTTTTGTGATTTTTTTCTTTATTCTTGGACTTCTAATATTTTATGATGACATATGTAAACATATATGTGTGTTGTTGTATGTGTGTATTACAGACCATGCGAGCAATGGAACTGATATTACGACAAAAATTAAATTCAGATCGTTCCAAGTATTTGCCGCCCATCAAACGTGGTGGCTACATTGATATCTACATGACTAGCTCAGGTTAGATAATAAATTACTCATGTTTTTATTCAAATATTTTCAAATACACCAGCATCACAACAAACAAATTTAATTAATTAGTTGAAGACCCTATATATATATTTTTTTTTTCTTACAAAAATTATTCATCCAAAAGCATTTAAAAAAACAAAAAATGTATGAATTCTTGTTTGGTTTTTTCTTTTTCTCAAACTCGTATCAAACTCGTTCAGCTAGCAAAACGCTTTTTAAATAAATTTGCCAGTAAATCCCTTTAAATTCAACTAAATCTGAACCTGATTTCTCTTACTCAATATTATGATTGTAAATAATTTTAAATTAAGGGAAAATTAAATTAAATATATTTTTATTTATTTAGACTAAATAACAATGTGTTGTTGTTAAGCATGTTTCTTATGTTGTGCTTGTGTAACGATTTTCAAGTTAAATCATCCCAGCAATTGTTCTTCATAAAAGCATATTTGATCATCACATTAAAAATTTTTGCATATTCATCACTGTGTGATCGCATATTAAGTTAATCCTTGGGAAAATGGTATATACCACCGAAGGTCCCAGTTTCGTGTAATTTATGATTCATTTATTGCAGCGATAACGTGTTTTTTTGTAGTAACCTTTGGCAAAATGAAAAAAGAAAAAAAACATCAAAAGTCATTTCAGATACCCGACAAGTTACTCGAGGAAACTAGAAGAGTTGTCCTAAAAAAAATGCATCTTTCTGAACGGGAAAGGCCTTTTTCGAATAAATTCATTTGAAAACTCTGTGCTATGAGTAATAATAATGAGAGAGTTCAGAATGGTGAGGCTCCGCATCTCTCAATTTTTTTCGTGGCAAACTTTTGTATCCGATCTAGTGATGCGGCAATGAATTTATAAGTTGGTTCATGATTTCGAAGATAATGCCTCGAATTAGTCGTCATCTTCTTCTTCGCTGCACTCTTTGATATGTTCTTTTACAGCAAAACAAACGCCTCGCTTTTCATTATTTTTAAGAGGACACACCTACATATTTCACTGTTCATATGAAAAATCTACTAAAGTGAAATAAAACTCTTCATATTTTTACTGCAAGTACTATATCACCTTGGGATTTTCAGAGATGATTTTGAACGGTGCTGCCATATGTAAGAACGTTGTGTGGGCTTTATGGAAGTTAGATTTTTACAATTTTTTTTTCTGGCATAGAACCGAAACGTACACTTTGCACTTATTTTTCTATCCACATTTGTTAAACTGTTCTGAAAAGATTAGTAATGATGGGAGTTAATGAAGACTTGGAGGTAATAAAACATTATGCCTTTTTAAAAGAAAAGACGATAACAAGACAAGTAAAAAAATGTTGAAGAAGCCTTGGATAAGCCAGTTAGTTACTATAATGTCATAAAAATGGTAGCTTCCGCGTTGTCATTAAAATACAAAATTCTTCTTAGCATTTTTATTAGTTACTACGCTATAATAAGCAACAACAACAAATGCGATTAAGAGAACACATACCGCAAAACCTTTGACAAACATTTTCGCAAACCCTATGATTTTCTAAATTTGAAATCAAAAATTAATTTTATAAAAAAGTCTTTCTGAAATGAACTTTTATTTAAATGAATTAAAATGTGGAAAATAAATAATAAGTGACCACAACTTTTATGTATAGTGACTGGGACACAATATTCATTTTAACTTTTCAGTTCACTTAAAGGGTAACAGCCACTGTAAACTTTTTAGAAAAGCATTTGCTTTTTCTTTGACTTAGCGATTGCGCTGAACCAATGTAAAAAAAAATTAAAAATATGCAGCATTCCCCTCAAATAAATTTTTTTCTCTGAAATGTCGACCTCTATCTTTAAAAATAATATTCTCTAACTTTTTAACTTTTGCTCACAAAATATATAGTAATTCTAAAAAATGTCTACATGTTTTAATGGCTGTAGATTAAATTCTTTTTTTTTTGGGGGGAATTCAAATTTGCCGAAGTTATACGATGTACCGCGTTTCAATGAAACGTGCCTTGCAGCACCGGCTGTGGTATTGCCATTTTTTAAATATATTTTTTCTTCGATAATACTACTCAGTCAGCTTTCTTGTCATCCAAAAAGAGTTTGTTTTTTCTGGTTGTTGCAGTGGCATTAATTAAAAAAAAATTGTCAAGTTTTAAGATAAACAAAAATAAATATTATTAATTAAAAAAAAAAAAAAAAATTGTTTTTTCTATATAATTTCCTCTTTCTATCTATTGCAATTGAAAGTATTATTTTCGTTTTGATATTTGTGAATGCTCCATTGTTACAAGACTTCTTCTCAATTTTCACAATGTCTTTTACTAGATAGTGTACTACTGCTTCATTTTCATACGATTGAATGTCTACATTTGAATTCCCCAATTTGAATGGATTTGTCTCTGTTTTGGCACTTCAGCCAGCATATTCTTCCTTCACTCTGAATGATTTCTTCAAGTAAATATATAATAATTTGATCCTTTGGATGTGGATAGGTGTCCATGGAGTTGATTCGTATTAACATATCCTGGAATTCGTCGATGGCATTTCACATTCGCGCACACAATCGGAATTCGTTCATCGGTATCAAATTGTGGAGGATTTTTAAACTTACACAATCACGTAAAAGCGTGATCTTCCCCTATTCTGAAGTTCAATTGATGACCAGCGATCTTTCAAACATCCATCGAAAACTATAATGTTATTATTTGGAAATGTAATGTGAGGCTTGGCACGAGGCGAGAAATTTCAACTAACAATCCGTGGACCTTGTTCGACTAATTGCTGAACTAAACATTTGTCTAAATTACAATAGGTTTTCGTCAGGTCCTTTATCAGCTGCTAACAATTCTGTCCGTATGTATCTGGGTTCTTTTATTGCTGTGCGACGTGGAGATAGAAATCTTCAAAAGATACTACTCTCCTGCACGATTCGCCTTTCACGGCGATTGAAACTACCCTCCACATACACATTTCTTCTACCTCTATTCGCCGCGAAACCACTGTTAGATATTTCTGCGCGGAGACTGGTCGCATTTACTTCTCTTCGTTTGATGAGCCCTAGTGGACTATCCTACTGGCTTCTATTTCCTTTTCTCTCCATCCGCTGCCTTGTACCTCGAATTTTGAACAGCTAAAGATTACACGCTCGGCGTCCTCTACCATTCCCCCGCAATTCAGCTATATTGGTGAGTGATCGTGACCGAATCTTAACAGATAGCTTCGCAACTGGGCACGATCGGTCGAAAATTCCGCGATGTAGTAATTTATCTTCACCTATCGTCTTTTGCAGTTATCTTGTCGCATTCTACTCACAAATTCCAGTTATTTAATACTCATATATTAAAGGGATTGTTCAGAAAAACGTAAGCCATCACTGTGTAGTGGCTGCTATTTTGAACATGCAGAAAATTTGAATGTGCAAAGCTCCATTGTCATCGAGAAATATACGATAAGAGTAATTAAAGTTGTGCAGAAAATTTCAAAATGGAAGTATGTATGTAGAATTGTTTGGTATATCGAGTGGAGGATTCCGTGCTGACAAAAGAGCAAGTTAAGTAAAAGTAATTTTTTATCAAAAGTAAATATTCATAGCATTTTTTCATCTAAGCACTTCTTTGGTTTGGCAAGTTTTTCTTTATGTGTTCCTAGTTTTCTTTCCACAATTTTTTTTTTTTTTTTCTTATCTTTCATAATCTTCCTTCTAATAATAGCTATTTTTCTATTCACTATTGGCATGACTGTTTTAATCCGCAAAGCAAAAGCTTTGCATCATTTATGCAGCTGTACAGAGCTGAAACAATTCAGTGGAGAATTGCGTTTTTACTGCGATTTGTATATAGAATGCGACAAAAACACCACTCTCCGTATTGTTTATATTGCATTATTGACATTCGGCTAAGGAACTAAGCTCAAGTGTAAACTGTATTTATTTATTCGAACTGTACGTTAAGAGTCTACAAAAAATTTACTTTTTCTAATTAGATGATAAAAATAAAAATTGCTGTATGTGATATACCCGTTAACTGTCCGGCATTCTTTATAAAAAAAAATATATATATATATATATCGAAAATATCCAAATATTGCCAAATATGTGACCAAAGTAGCGGTTCGTATGGAGACTGTTTTAGATTTTTATTCACTTTCACACGATCTGACCTCATTCATTGGGAACGTTGACAAGGAAAAATTCCGTAAAATCAATAGCATATAGAATATAACTAGATTTTCTATACTATTACAAAAGTTTTACCTCGAAGAACGCATAAAGTATATCTATTCTTTATTAGTGTTAACGACTGAATCGTCTCTGTCACTTTGTCTCAAGAAGTAGTTTGGTCTACAATTTTTTTTTTTTTCGTCACTGGCCATAATTACTAAAAATTGCACATGTCCCTCTTGTTTCGAAATTGTGAGCTTTAAACGGTAAAACTTTTATTAAGACAGCTCTTACGGTTGCAGCATAAACGTTTCCCAGCGAAAATCGTCAAACCAATCTCATAACTGTTAAATAATAAAATAATTAATGCTGAATAAGTAAATATGATTTTTAGAAGGGTATGAAGATGAATTCGAATTTAATTAGCAGAGACGCCTACCATTTCTGTTAACAAAACTCTGCTAAATAATTACAATTGAGATATAGTTGGATTTGAAAGCCTACTCCGTCCATATTAAAAAAAGGAAAATATTTTTGTGGATATCTCATGAATCTATATTAAAATACCTTTCAAACAAAGTAAACAAATTCAAATTCCGCCTATAGGAGCTATTTTTAACGCAACTGAAATTTGGTTTGAAATTTGGTATGTTAGCGGAAAATGGATATGGGATAACAGGCAAATTTGAGACTCTTGTATGACCAAACTAGAAAATGTCTCTCATATTCACCTATATCACGTAAATCTATATAAAAGTACCTGTCGAATGGGCAAAAAAATTCAGTCCTCTCTTTCGGGAGTTATTTTTAACAATTTTTTGATATTTGGTATGTTAGCGAAAAAT